TCTGTTTTAGTACCTTAAGTGCGTTCTCTAAAATTCTTTTGGGAGAGAAAATGGCTGACTTGGTCGCGGAAGTTACTCGTATTCGCGATCGACGCAGACTTGAGCGATCAGAAATAATTAGAGAGCTCCTTCACGGTAGGCTAGGTAGCACTCGGCTGCAGGAAGTGCTGCAAGCTGCCAAAAGAGCCTTTAGTATCTCAGACTCCAGGGGAGCCATGTTTCAGAACTTGACGGACGATATGGCAAAAAAGCACCCAATCCTTGAGCAGCTGCTGGAGCGAGTGTTAAAAGACGACTGGGATTGTTCATCCAGCGATCGCGAAGAGTACATCTTTCCACGCGCCGACATTTTACCCGCGCTTTTTGCGCAGGGCTTGTTTCCTGGTTTGTTTCGGAGGGGAATTATGGATGATTACCTGATGTACGAGTAGATGGCTTCGCTGTGTTCTCTTCGTTACATTCGTTACTTCTTTTGACGATTTCTACTTTGTTGGATGGTTGATGATATGGGCAAAAATGGTGCGCAAACGAATGAATCGTGTGTGGACATCCATCGTTTTTGGTGTTAAGTTTTAGTATTATAGCGGGGCATTTTAATTGCGTCGTTGTCTGCGCGGAGGCTTTCTTGTGCGCACGAAGTCTTACACGTTTGTGAATCAGTACCGTCTGTCTGGTTGCACGAAGCGGATTCCTGTGGTTTATCGACTCGACGTGGGCCTGAGACAAAGTTGAAATCGATAGAACAGAATCTAATGAAATGTGGTGTAATGAACAGGCACTTACTGCGAGCTTGGTTTCCCTGTGGTGATACAGAATCTCTTCCTTGAATGAATTTAAAACAAACGCGTAGGAGGAAAGGAGTAAGGGGAAAGTGAGGTAGATGCTTCTTTAATCAATCGAAATCAGATCCCGTCGTCAAGGACACGGTTCAGATTTGCCTGGTAATTATGCTATATAAACCTGCAGGTACGCATCGCGGGTTGCGTACTTGCAATACAACGCTAGACAGGGGATGACCTAACCAGAACAAATCACATCAGTTTTATCCTTGTTTATTAAAAAATATGGTTATGGTTAAGCGTTATTGACAACTTGGAGATCGGGGGCGCTTAGAGTTCAGTCAAGCAGACCATTTGTGAACATTTTCGTAAATGAGAGAGCTGTTATTTTCTTTGTCCTGAACGGTAAAAGACAGGCTGAGGATTTTTTTTCTTAATAATGTTAGGTACCTGTATCTATTTTAGTGTCTTTTCAAACTAACCAGATTCAAATATTTTGGCCCTTGCGGTAATCTTGCAAGTAGACACGACTTATTCCAAGTATTCAAAAATATTTATGTCGAAATACAGAATTCAACTGAAGAGAATCTTAGGCCCTGTTCACTCTAATTCGTTTTCAGAAGTATGCGTTTTCGTTGTCATCAAAAACGCATCGATCGATTCGCGTCCACACTACCGTTTTGTTGCCTTTTCGACTTTCTGCACTAAAACGTTCAGAAACGGTAGAATTGCACGTGACGTAAAATGAACTCTATGCGCATGCTACCAGCACGCGCCTGCGGTATTTTCGGTCATCGTTTTCATTTTCGACCGTCCATACTAACACGATATGAATGCATTTTCGTTTTGATCCTCTTTCAAGAGCGTTTTCAAATGGATGCGTTTTTGATGACAACGCTCAGCGTGTTAGTGTGGACGGAAGGCCTAAAGGCATGGGAATGTGTGCGTTTTCAAACGCAAACGCAATAGTGTGGACAGGGCCTTATTCTGACTATAAAAAGCAAAAATGGCCTCACCATCAGGCCTGAGAGCAGGCTCTTTGGCTTTCTCTGGGTTCGACTCGGGATAGCGGAAAGATCCGAGAGAGGGAGGGAAAGCTTGCTACCAGGTTTGTTACCTACTGCCAGCTTTGAATTACATTGGCAGTCATGGAAGTTTGAAATGTTTAGTCGTTGAAGTTCCTGTGGGCGTTCTAACACCTGTACATTCTAAGTAAACCGTGAGGTAGAACAGTTTCGCCACCGACTTACTGTCTTTTCTAAGCGTTTTCAAGTGTTAGGCCCTACTGTTTAGGAGGCGTTTTTTTGCAATAAATTTTTAGAGAATTTATGAGTGACTTGTCTTATTTCTAATTTAACATAATATAGCTTTAATATTAAACCTGCAGGTACGCATCGCGGGTTGCGTACTTGCAATACAACGCTAGACAGGGGATGACCTAACCAGAACAAATCACATCAGTTTTATCTTTGTTTGTTAAAAAATATGGTTATGGTTAAGCGTTACTGACAACTTGGAGATCGGGGGCGCTTAGAGTTCAGTCAAGCAGATCATTTGTGAACATTTTCGTAAATGAGAGAGCCGTTATTTTCTTTGCCCTAAACGGTAAAAGACAGGCTGAGGTTTTTTTTCTTAATCATGTTAGGTACATGTATCTATTTTAGTGTCTTTTCAAACTAACCAGATTCAGATATTTTGGCCCTTGCGGTAATCTTGCAATTAGACACGACTTATTCCAAGTATTCAAAAATATTTATGTTCAAATACAGAATTCAACTGAAGAGAATCTTAGGCCCTGTTCACTCTAATTCGTTTTCAGAAGTATGCGTTTTCGTTGTCATCAAAAACGCATCGATCGATTCGCGTCCACACTACCGTTTTTTTTGCCTTTTCGACTTTCTGCACTAAAACGTTCGGAAACGGTAGAATTGCACGTGACGTAAAATGAACTCTATGCGCATGCTACCAACACGCGCCTGCGATATTTTCGGTCATCGTTTTCATTTTCGACCGTCCATACTAACCCGATATGAATGCGTTTTCGTTTTGATTCTCTTTCAAGAGCGTTTTCAAACGGATGCGTTTTTGATGAAAACGCTCAGCGTATTAGTGTGGACGGAAGGCCTAAAGGCATGGAAATGTGTGCGTTTTCAAACGCAAACGCAATAGTGCGGACAGGGCCTTATTCTGACTATTAAAAAGCAAAAATGGCCTCATCATCAGGCCTGAGAACAGGCTCTTTGGCTTTCTCTGGGTTCGACTCGGGATAGCGGAAAGATCCGAGAGAGGGAGGGAAAGCTTGCTATCAGGTTTGTTACCTACTGCCAGCTTTGAATTAAATTAGCAGTCATGGAAGTTTGAAATGTTTAGTCGTTTAGTTCCTATGGGCCTTCTAACACCTGTACATTCTAAGTAAACCGTGAGGTAGAACAGTTTCGCCACCGACTTACTGTCTTTTCTAAGCGTTTTCATGTGTTAGGCCCTACTGTTTAGGAGGCGTTTTTTTGCAATAAATTTTTAGAGAATTTATGAGTGACTTGTCTTATTTCTAATTTAACATAATATAGCTTTAATATGCTGAATTTGTTTTTGGGCTTAATAGAGGTCGGTAAGACTTTCTGGGGGTGGAAGCTGTAACATATCGTAGCTGACAACCTATGAAATCTTTTCAGACTGGCGGGGAGTCAGGGAACACGGCTAAGATTACCGTGAAATGAGAGACGTTTTTCTTTTTTTGTTCAAACAGGCTTGGGATTGCTCGCTCGTTGTGTCTAATTTTCGATTCTTCCAGTCTTTGAGGGCCTCTTCACATAAGCCCGGTTGACCGGGATGAATTTCGCCTTGGGTTCATATGAGAAATTTCAGCCTGGTTTCCGAGACGAGAAAAGGCCAAAGATCCTGGGGACGAGTTCTGGCGCCAAATTCGAGAAACAATGCAGACATGGCGAAACACAAAAAATTTAACTTTCGTGCCTACCATAGCTTCGGCAACTCTTAAAGCCGTATCGCTGCAGTTAAATGGGATGTTTATGATATCGAAAATACCACAGGCAATGCAAGACGATGCCATCCAGACCGCCAGAATTCATCCCGCTTTCATCCTGGTGACAGGGATGAATGAAGTGTTTATATGGCAAAACTTCGAACCAGCTTACCGAGATCTCGGTTGGAAAAACTGAGATCTCGGGAACAGAGCCAGCCCGTCCTTTCATATGAACACATCGATGATTTTACAAAGGATTTAGAGGTAAGGCGAGATCTCGGAAACCGGGCTCATGTGAAGAGGCCCTGAGTAAAGTTTGAACGTGATGTTTTAAAACCCAGCCAATACTGCGAGCAGAGCCCCGGTCATTTTGCTTCTTCTTGGGAGGAGGAGGAAATGAGGTTCTGGTCTGAATCACGTCAAGTTGTTGAAGCCACCGTAGCTCAAACTTCTGGACTAGTCAATTATTTTTTCTTTCGTCAAACTGGTTTTTGTGACTACTGCGCATGCTTTAACAGATTCCCTATCCCTAAACAAGACTTTTAGACGACTTTAAGTTTGGGGATAGGGAATCTGTTGAAGCATTTCACAACAATGTTTACCTTGTTTATCTGCCAGTCTGCAGTCTGCATTTGTCAGCGAAGTGAAAAATTAAAATGATATCAGTAACGGGTGGGGAAGTCTCTTTTTTCTTAGCCTGAGTATCAGGCGTTTCTGGGGGAAAAGGGGAAAGATGGAAGCGAAAAAAGGTTAACATCTCCTCTCCCCTAGCCCCTTAGGAAGGTCTGATGCTCAGGCTACTTTTTTCTCGTCACTTTTAATTTCAGTATAGAAAAAAAAGAGTAACAGTTCCGGTTTTTTCTTTCCCGAAGTAATTGCAGCCTGAGTTTCTTGGACAAGTCAGGTGCAATGCAGAAGATGAGTGACAAATGCTTTAAAAATCAAGTGTTATACATGTCGGGTTCATTATTTATGCAAAGTAAAGTTTACGTTCCTCGAAGGAAACGCCTCGCTTCTCTCGAACATGCGCTTTCTATCGAGTATAACCACTTTCTTTGGGCTCTCACCTTATTTTTAGTCCAAGGTTCTAGGTTCTTACACCGAGGTTGAGCCGGAATTTCCACTGCAAGTTCAACGCGTTCGTTTATTGCGCCTTCAAGACGTGATTTCGATGAAATGTTATTAATTAGACCACCTGGGTTTGAAGAAAGACGCCGATCGCGAGCACCTTGGCCTGTTTATATCGATGTTTCTTCTGTAATAGAAACGCGTCTTTCCTTACTTAGATCTGTAAAATTAACTGGCTTTGGTAATGCATTTTTCGCTATACAGAGAATTCCCAGCTCTTCTACCGTTCCATGACCTCTTAAACTAATACGTTGTGCCGGTCCTTCGGGGTGGTTCTTGAGGATACCTCTTTTTCTAATACCAGGGATTACGAAGGCATCCGAAGAGTAAGGAGTTCGTGATTTGCAGCAAACCAGTTTCTGGACGGAGTTTAAGACGACGCGGTTTCTTGTAATGTAGAGAATTGGAAATAAAACACCTTTCAGACGAAGCCAGAAGTTTACAGCGAATGCTGCGCTTGGTTCAAGGGCGCGATTATTGGAAAACATCGTCCACATAACAGTGCCAAGAAATGGCGCTGTAAAAACTGTGTAGATACCGAGCAATAAAATCGCAGTGATCTTTGCTCGAGCAGTTCGGTTGGCGAAGTGTGTCGGTGAAAAACGGCGTTGAATGTTGGAGCGGTGTTGAATGTCGACCCTCCGCCTTGTTCGTCCTGCGCTGAAGATGCGAAACGAAATGCAGTAGATACCAAGTAGAGGGAGGAGGAGGGAGGTTATCTTGAAGACAACTGAGAGAGTACTGAAAGCAGATCCTATCTCTAAGAGTAGAGGAAGAGTTTTGACCAAAGCACAGCCACTTGTATTGGTGCTGGTATCACTCTTGATGAGTTCATTCCACGGAGTTGCCACCACTGAGGATTGTGTCCAGACCCAAGCTATCAAAAGTGCAACTCGCTTTTTAGTCATTCTCTTACGACCGGTTCGGACGAGGTTGTGGTACCGATCAAACGCGATGCAAACCATGCTAAGAAACGAAGCTACTTTGAATAAGCTGTCGAAAAAAACCGAAAGCGTACAGAACACATAGCTATCCGTTAGACCGGGGATGTAACCGGGAGTGATATAAAATGCAACGTCTGACATTACCATCAACATGTCCGTGAGGCAGTGGTTAATAACCATTGTGTTCGTCACTGTTCTCATCTTGTAGTTTTGAAAAAATGAAAACAAAATTATTGAGTTACTTGAGAGCGTGCAGGCGACAACTGAAAGATAGAAAAAGCTTTTGGTGATATTGAGGTCGTGCGCGGGGTAAACTCCCATTCCTTCAAGCAGATCCGTATGAATTTTTAGCAGCGTAGTGGTTTCCTAGAAAATCGAGAAGAAGGCTTTTAGCCAGTTTAAAACTGACCGACGTAATTCCAAGTTTACATGACTTCTAACAAATTATAAAGAATACTGAAAACCTTTGTGCTTTGTTGGTTCTACTCTGCTCGAGTCAATTCGTGACCGGGTTGGTTCTTCTCGAAAACCTCGTCCTTTTTACCTAGCTCTTGTTTAGAAAATGGCTGGATATGCTGATTTATATGCATTTATCTACGCTAGGTTGAAATTCTTCCGGTCATTGAAGAGGCCTCATTAANGCTGCGCTTGGTTCAAGGGCGCGATTATTGGAAAACATCGTCCACATAACAGTGCCAAGAAATGGCGCTGTAAAAACTGTGTAGATACCGAGCAATAAAATCGCAGTGATCTTTGCTCGAGCAGTTCGGTTGGCGAAGTGTGTCGGTGAAAAACGGCGTTGAATGTTGGAGCGGTGTTGAATGTCGACCCTCCGCCTTGTTCGTCCTGCGCTGAAGATGCGAAACGAAATGCAGTAGATACCAAGTAGAGGGAGGAGGAGGGAGGTTATCTTGAAGACAACTGAGAGAGTACTGAAAGCAGATCCTATCTCTAAGAGTAGAGGAAGAGTTTTGACCAAAGCACAGCCACTTGTATTGGTGCTGGTATCACTCTTGATGAGTTCATTCCACGGAGTTGCCACCACTGAGGATTGTGTCCAGACCCAAGCTATCAAAAGTGCAACTCGCTTTTTAGTCATTCTCTTACGACCGGTTCGGACGAGGTTGTGGTACCGATCAAACGCGATGCAAACCATGCTAAGAAACGAAGCTACTTTGAATAAGCTGTCGAAAAAAACCGAAAGCGTACAGAACACATAGCTATCCGTTAGACTGGGGATGTAACCGGGAGTGATATAAAATGCAACGTCTGACATTGCCATCAACATGGCCGTGAGGCAGTGGTTAATAACCATTGTGTTCGTCACTGTTCTCATCTTGTAGTTTTGAAAAAATGAAAACAAAATTATTGAGTTACTTGAGAGCGTGCAGGCGACAACTGAAAGATAGAAAAAGCTTTTGGTGATATTGAGGTCGTGCGCGGGGTAAACTCCCATTCCTTCAAGCAGATCAGTATGAATTTTCAGCAGCGTAGTGGTTTCCTAGAAAATCGAGAAGAAGGCTTTTAGCCAGTTTAAAACTGACCGACGTAATTCCAAGTTTACATGACTTCTAACAAATTATAAAGAATACTGAAAACCTTTGTGCTTTGTTGGTTCTACTCTGCTCGAGTCAATTCGTGACCGGGTTGGTTCTTCTCGAAAACCTCGTCCTTTTTACCTAGCTCTTGTTTAGAAAATGGCTGGATATGCTGATTTATATGCATTTATCTACGCTAGGTTGAAATTCTTCCGGTCATTGAAGAGGCCTCATTAAGAACTGGAGCTCTTTGTATCCGGCAAAGAAAGTTAGCTTGCGTTGGAGTCCAGTGTGGGTGCTAATTCGCGATGAAAATGGGAATAAAACAAGGGATTGTAGTTAAGAGTTTCCTCCTTACCAAAATGAAATATCGTTGTCCGCATTTGAAGAAAATTTTGAATTCAAATTAAAAGCGTTTAACTCTTAGGCTTGCTAAAACCCTTTCGAAAAAAGGAAACGAACGATGAATAGCCCTTTACTCCGCATTCATTAAACTGAGGCGATGCACTCACGGCAGCAGAGATCTATATGACCGCGCAGTACTATTTTTTTTTTAATTTCTAACTTGTTTCTCTTAAAGGTTAGAGTAAGCCTGATAGAAAAGTAGGTTAAAAACATTGTATGTCTAAACGTAGGATTCAATACGTTCAAAATTGTTCTCACTACCGAAAGTGAAGGCCGGGGAAGATCGTTCCATAGATTTAGGAGACGCAGGTGAAAAGGGGCGATCATATTCCCTGAAGTGTTTTCAGTTTCAAACTACAAAATGTCGAGATAAGACCTTTTGTCCCAACGGAGACTGTATGAACATAGTCCAAGAAATTTTCGAGAGCTGCAGTTTACGTAAATTGCTGAAAGATGCCGTCTGTTGATGTAATTGACAATTATTTAGACTGGCAATTGGAGTTCGAACATGAACGTTTCAGCTGCTATTCGGATACCTCTTTGCTCATTGGAAATGCAGGCTGACGAAACACTGACCAAGTCCAAAACTAACAATGTGTAATCAGTCACATTGATCTACAATAGCTTGTACCTGTATTGCATCTGACTGAATGGTAAGGATGAACTTAAACCTACCGCACCTGCTTACTATAATCAACTGAATTATAACTCTAATTGATTTTTTCCTTTTTTTCCACCAAAACAGTCGGTTTAGAGAGAGTAACGAGGTTCCGAGAGATAGTCAAAGTGAGGTATTTTCTATGAAGGCCCGTTCTGGTCAAAATTGCAGAATTAACTTTTTCCTCTTGGTGAATTAATTTGATGCGGTTCCTGCCATTAATATTTTGTCTGTTTGTAATTATTTTTACCTATTCCTGTAATTATTTTTGTGTTCAGTGAGTCTTTTTAACTTTTGCATGTCTCACAATTCTTTTTTTTCTTTCCAGGAATTATTTTTTAAGTACCGTCATCAGTATTATTATGCTTCTTTGAAATTATTTTTGCTTATTGCTCAAATAATTTTACGGTTGCGGATTAGTGGTTTGTGAGCTATAATTAAATTTTTTAAGTATTAATTGGTTTTGTGGTATGTTTCTCTTAATATTATGATAATTTATTTTTTTTCTATTCGATAATTATGGTTTTGTTAGTCATAACATGTTATTTTTCCGTATTTTTGGCAAATGTCCCATAAGCCTCTGCGGCGAAGCTCTTGCCATGTGCTTTCTGAGGGTGCGTTTTTTGGGAAAATCCAAATCCAAAAACGGATTTTAAGTTTTTTTGGACAAATCCAAAAACGGATCATCAACCATAAAATCTACACTCAGGGTGGATTCTTCGGATTACATCCAAATCCGGATTTTTTAGATTCACAATCTGAGCGTTTTTTTGGGAAAGGATTTGAACTTGAAAGTATTCTTGAATTTTGACAAGCGGTTTTTCGAAAAAAAAAATTTGGTACGCAACAGATGCCGTACATGTATGACTTCTAACTGGACCTATGTTGCTGGCGCCTCATTAATTTTGAGCCGATAGTTACATATCATTCCATGTTTGTCATCTATTTAAATTATTGGTAGGCTGTTTTTAAACCCTTACTTGTCATGTTTTTGTACGTATGTAGTGTCTGCTTACGCCGGTTTATTTTCCAAGCGAATAAAAAAAAAAAAAACAATTCATCGGCTTCACAAAAATTCTTATAATTTTACTATCCTAAGGAGTGTATTCTATTCGAGAAATGTTTGTGTTTCAACCGAAATATATTCATGACCTCCTCATTCATTTCGTATATTCATTCGTAGCTTATGTTGCTTTTTCTTCTTGTCTTCGCTGTGAGGATCAGTTTGTTGTTTAATTTTTTTTCCTTCGATGAGCACGAGGACATCCGTGTTGTCATGGTAAATGATCCTTTTTTGGATCTTTCGTTTTTTTGGTAGTGAAGAATCCTTATGATCTGAGATCACAAATCCGATTATGGATTCTCCCAAAAAACCGCACTCTGAAACAAACATGGCGCCATCAAACAATTAGAACAAAGATAAGATAAGATATTAAAGATAAGAACGTTTATTTTTAAAAGTGTCAGAGTATTTAGCCCAAAGGGACTTATTGGGGACACTAAATAGACTATACTATTAAAAGAAAATGTTAAAAATGAGTATTTACGATCCCGTTTCTAATTCAGTCCCATGATTGCCAGCACTGCAATCAGAGGCCTAGAATCATATATGACGTACCTACCCATCACTATAAGAATCTATATATTGGTACACTATAGGAATCATATATGATGTACCTACCGCGAATCAATGCGAGAACAACGCTCGTCTGGTCCTGGTGACGAATACTCACGAAAGAAGAAAAGCGAAGAAAAGCAACATGGCGGCGAGTGGTGACGTGGACGAACTCTTCGAAATAAGAAATTCCTTTTACATTGGAAATTACCAATTCTGTGTAAATGAAGCTCAGAAGTTGCACGTAAGCCTTGCAACATCTTATTCAGTTTAGGGCATTCAGTGGCCCGAGTGAAATCCGTTACCACTCGTTGACGATAATGATGTCTATGTCTAATTTGTTTCTAGCCCTCTTCACGCGAGTTAGCCATTGAAAAGGATGTTTATATGTACAGGGCTTACACAGCACAGGTCAGTTAATGCTCTTTCAATGCATATGTTGTAGTTTTAATATTTTTTATCTGAGGCAATTTTTATTTTTCTTCTGTTTTTACAACTTCATTAGCATACATTGCAATACCCAAAAACAAAAGGAAAACAAAATTACCTGAGGTAAAAAAATTAACTACAACAGTGGTTTCATACCTGTGCACTGCTTATCTTACACTTTGACGAGTAAAAGGTTCACTTTAAGCCGAAAAAATGGGCTAACGATAGGTTGCTTATCTGAAATGTTGGATGATTGTGTCTGTGTATTTTTGTATGAAGGCTATCTTGTGAATTATGAAATATGTCTTTGTTTTTAGCGCAAAACTTGAGCCGGGTCATGTGATCAGTCGCAATGGTAAAGGAGAAATATGATCTTGAAGTTAATCAGAAATAGTTGTCAAAATGGTTATCTTTGCAAGCCGTCCTACAAAAAACACAAAATATATAACCTGGATAAAACTGAATAGCTAATATAATAGATCTCCAAGTGTACCTTTCAAAGCAAAACATAAAACACTCACTTCAAAGTTGTGTTTTAAAATATAAGCAAATTTGCATACGTAATTTGAAACCTCTTGATACCTCTACATGCATCACAACTTTTGCTAAATATAGTCAGCCACTTTCTAAGCAAAACACTAAAAATGCATGATAACCATAGGTTTCTCCATGATTATTCCATCATTTTCTGACATTATAATTAAACTCAACTGCAGTAGAAGTCAAACAAAAGCGAATAGCAAGACAAGTGCTTGTTTGTTTACTTTTTACCAGCGACCAATAGTTTTGTTTGCCGAGCCAAGCAGGGAAATTGGCATCAATAAGGGCTAATTCATTTCTTGTAATTCCACTCTAAAAGTTACATCAGTTAATCGAGTTATTCTGGCGCACAGAATCAGCGATCAATGGCAATGGCTGAATGTATGCATACAGCAAAATGTTAACTAACTCAACTAAGGTATTTAATGTTACGTCCTTATTTACTAAGTAATACGATCAAATTCCATGAAATGGAATTAAATGTACATGAATTTGTATGTCATAGGGCAAACACAGAGTTGTTCTAGATGAGGTATCATCATCATCTCCTCCAGAGGTACAGCCAGTTAGAATGCTAGCTGATTATCACCAGAATCCTAACAAAAGGTCTGTGTTCCCTTTAATATATTATGACCACTGTTTTTGTTTAATGATCATGATAAAGATACAAAATAGCCCATGTTCGATATATTAAAATTCTAACATGTCTCTGAGGCTCTAAGGATAAACTTGCATATTTGTTATGACTCCATTGTCTAGCAATTCCTAGGAGAGACTTGAGCACAAAGAAATCCAAACCAAATATAGAAATATGGCTTGGGAACCTAGGAGTCTTGTTAGAATTTTAATAACGTGTGTTGGCCATTGTACTTGTAGTACAGTGGAATCCATTAATATGTGTATGACCTTTATTGGGCTATGCGAAACTTGTTGTATAAGAAGGATAGTATCACCACATAATAATGAGCTTTTTCTAAATTATGTAATGATAAGCACAATTTTTAAACCTGACTGCAGTATCAAACTTCCAGGCATCACACCTGTCATTTTGGGTACTCAATTATGCCTAATGCAGCGCTGGAAATTACTGTCAGACATCAAACATTGTCCGATCAAAATTTTGAAAATGTCCGACTAATATTGCAGTATGTTTGGACATAATGTCCGAGAACTTAATTGACTGATCGACTTAGCTCTTGTCATAGAAACTTCTTAACCTCTGTGAGCTGATTTCAGAAACATTAAAAGGTAAAACAGGTTCAGGGCAGGTTCTTGAGAGGGCAATTACACAGAAGCATTGCTTGGGTTTTCTTGCCATGGACCATCAAATGATTTGAGGCAAACTACTAGGAGAAATCATAACAGTGTTGTGAATTAGCGACGCATTTGAATAAGTGTCGTATTTGGGACAAAAAATTAATAAATGCCGCCCCTGAAAAGGCACTGCGGCCTGTTATAATCATAAAAAAACATTAATTTTGTCAGTTTGATACACAAAATAACAATATCGCATTTAAAGCTGCCCTCGAATAAGTGCACATTTGAGGTGTGAGAAATTAAATAAGCGTTGTGGTCCTTATTCGAGTAAATACGGTATGCTAATTGATTACCAACCACTTATTTAATATGTCCTATCAAAATGAAAGTAAGAAAAATTATTTCCAGCACAGTAATGGCTTATTAATGATTAGCATTTATTTGATCTGGCTTTACTACATTATGATCTCCATAAATCTTCATTTTGTACAATATCTGAATCTAATGTTTTATTACAGTCAGATTTATCTTAACGGACAGCTCTTTAAGACAGATACCTCACTAAATCAGACACCTAGAGTTGGTCCCTGCCTTTCTTTATGATGATGATTATTTAAGGAACTGAATGCTCACCTGCAAACCAGTATGGGTACTCTAAAAGGTGGCCGATGATAATGATAATATAATAGCAGTCATAATTTTTATGTACAGTACAGTTCAAGAGAAACTTACCAGTCTCATCTCGTTTCTTATCTGGTAGGACGAGTGTTGCATCTTTGCAAGTATCACTGAAGGAGCAGTTTTGGAATAAATTACAAAAAAAAAATGATATCACTACATCTGACAAACCAATCCAGATTTTTGAGGTACAATGATCAGAAAAAACTGTGCCAATAGTGACTATAGTACAGTTTTTGAAAACTGTATTTAATGAAGATTTCATTAAAACTTTAATCTTGTGTACCTTGGAAAGTGTTCACAATCTGCTGTACAGTCTGTAGGTGTCCATAACTTAACGGTACATCGAGTGCTAAGGCTGTCTTATTTATTACATTGTACTTCTGTTGTTCAATGTAGGGACTCCATCCTGAAGTCTATAGAAAAGAAATTAAACTCCAGTGATCTCAATGACTATGACTTATTGATGGCAGCCTCTATCTACTTTAATGAACAGGTTTGTGACTGTATAACATTTTTAATTTCTTTTTGCCTTTTTTTTTCTGTCTCACCATCGAGCGAGTGCAGAAACGGGTGCTGCGCATTATCTTTCCTGCCCTGCACTTCCAAGAGGCCTTAGCTACTACCGGGTGTGTACCACTTCACACAAGAAGAATGGAGTTGTGTAGCAAATTATTCACAAAGATAAAAGAGCCCGAGTCCCGTCTTCACCATCTTGTTTCACCGACTCGGTCGCAGGTGCACGGCCGCTCCCTTGGCAACAAAGACAGACCATCCCTTATAAGTTGCAAAACTGAACGTTTTAAACGAAGCTTTTTTCCCGGCGATGCGCCTTTATGCTCATGGCATGTAATTTAGGAACTTATGGGAATTTAATGTATAACTTGATATACATTAATTTTTTAGTTTCTAGTTTTCTACATATGTATCTAATTTATTGTATTATATCTTCTCATAATTGTAAGGCCCAGTCTATTTTGAACATGATGTAATTAGTTTAAATTAATTTTTTTTTATTAATATCTATATCTTTGTAAGATAATTTTGCAATTCACTTATTTTTAAGCGCGACGATTTTGTTAATAAACCAGACTTACTTACTCCTGGCACATTTACAATTTGTACCACTTCTTATATGTAACTTGAAAAAATAATGTATCTGGAAACATAAAAGCTTTTTCACCATGTACATGCAGTTGCAATGAATATTTCATCTTGTTGAGGTGCTTCTGTAAACCTTCTACCATCTGACTGCTTTTTGTTAAAAACAGAATTTTGAGTCTGCATTAAGATGTCTTCATCAGTCTGAGTCTTTAGAGTGGTAAGCTACATTTTTTATGTATTTGTATATTCTGATAATCAGTTAAGCCTGCCTGTTAGCACATCAATCAGTGATAAATACAGTATTATAATAAAAACAACCTGCTAAAAAGCAAAGAAACAATGTGAAGGTGTTTCATTGGTACGTTGCATGAATTGTTTGTAATCAATATGTTACCAGACAGTTTAAGTAAAGAACCTTAGATGCCAGTCCTGCTTTGCTTTTTTGTCAAAACTGTTACATGTATTATTTTGTTTTCATAGCTCTGCTTTGTCTGTTCAAATATATATCAGCATGGACAGAATAGATCTTGCCAGGTGAGTAAAACAGTTAACTGTTATTTTTTTTAGCTGCAAGATTACTAAGGCACCGTCCATACAAATCCGATTACTTTTGAAACTGCATATGTTTGAAACCCATCTCCAGAGTGGATTTTTTTGGATCTGACGTGTCTGGTGAATTTGTGTGGACGACTGAAACGTCAACTTCATCATAAACTCGGGTCCAGTCAATGAAAACTTTCAAGATGAAAATGGTAGGCAAGAATGCTCTGTTTGCGAATTTGTTGGCTCTAATTGCCAGTCTTATTGCATGCATAAAGATCAATTTTGCTATTTTGACGCCAAAGATTAGCCATTTCAAAGAAGAAGACTCATCCAGATTGTGGAATTTTTTAGTTTGAGACTAAGGTGTGTAAAACGTCTGCATTCTGAACCTCGTCAAAGACCATTTTGGGTTTGTCCAGAGCGAACAAGTGTACAGGCAGACCTGGGCATCAAGCTTGATATAGGTACATCAACATTAAAAAATGGTACAAAATCACGTTGCAAGCTCGGATTGCGCGTGCCTATTAGCTAGCAATTAGCAAATATAAATCACACTGAATAGGTTATAGACCTTTCCCGCATTCCTGTAATTAAACAAAGGCATCAAGTCGAGGCTCGGGTAGACAAAATACAGTGATTTGTATATGAAATTGTCCACCTAGGCCTCGTCCTCGTTTTTTATGTTTGGTTACTGGAGCGGAATGAAGGAAAGGTCTGTTGGTGTGGATGGGTGAATTCAAACTGGATGCATCACACCAAATTTGAGTTGACTCAAATATCAAATACAGTGTATGCGGTTTCAGCGTCTCCTGATTTGTGTGGATGTAGCCTGCATGTAAGTGCTTCTCAATACCATGTACCAGCGGTTAGTAGAAGCAGCCTTATTTAATATGAAATTACTGTTATTGTCATTAAATATTGTTATTGTTAATACCTTGTAATAATTATTAGTACATGTTTAGTGTGAATTTTATTCCTGTGAATTTACATGACTTTGTACTGTACTAGCCCTGCGGCACTAATTAAATCTTTCAAACCTCAAATGCAGTGTTTAGTTAAGGGTGGCAATTATTAATGAAAGTTGGATGCAACAAGGAACTATGGTATTACTATTTTGCATATTAAACTTACAGGATTAATGTCTTTAAATTTTGATTATATCAGCACTGCGACGCTTATTTGAGTTCTAAATATAGCGCTTACTCTAAAAGGGTAGTAATTTACTTGTTGGGCTAATTTTTGTTTTCTCTCTCTATCTTTTTTGTTTCCAATTCTCTTTCATTAGGAAAGAACTAAAAAGAATGCAGGTTTGTTTTCAAATTACTTTCATAAACTTATGTAGAATTATATTTTTCTTCACCTGACTGTAGGACCTAGATGATGATGCTACACTGACGCAACTGTCCCTCGCATGGTTTAATCTTGCTGTGGTAAGAAAATCTGAAAATTTTTACCAGCAATAACATTTAATTTTTGTTATTATAATTTCATTCAAAATATTTCCCCAATTCTGATTGGGTAAAAGCACACGCATAATTCACCATAACCAGTTACTGATGACCAAATTTAGAAGAATTTTGTGTTTAACGAGGAAATGACGTCAAAAATGCAGCCTTCTACAGGTCAATGCACCGTTAATCGAGAAGACCTGGGGACGAGGTTGAGGTGTTTTGGTTGTAAACTTGAAAAATGGCGGACATTTCACTTGTTTCAAGAGTAAGAACCAGGCGAAAAAATAGCTAAAAACATGGCAAGAACAGCAAGAAGACAACTCAAAGGGCGACATCTGCTATTTGGAGAATATTTGGGGAGCCGAACAACCCTAAACGTGCACTATCGAAGATGAACTTAACATCGATGGAGGTAAGCATGTTGAGCCATGTTTTTAAACTAGGAATTATTTTGAATGAATAATGAAACAATTATTGAATTCGGCTTTCGTATCATATGAAGAATTATGGAGATCTTGGAGGGTGTTATCCGCCGATATCACCCTCCTCGATCTCCATAATTCTTCATAGGATACTCAGCCTCATTCATTTATTGTTAATAATTCTCAATTGTAGTGTTTCATTTATAAGTGACATTTACGTAAGCAGGGACCTGTTATGCTTATTGTAAGGGAAGCCTGTTAAATCAAGTAATTAGAATGTGATTCAATAAGTGGGTGCAGGTAAGTAGATAAATAAATGATTAATTAAAGGATGACTATATGTATAAGCATATTGATAAACAATTATGGTAATTCCATGTTTTGCACTTCACATCACCTCTTTAAAATTGCATTACAACATTTGAGGTGGCAATTTCAAGCCATGCATGCAACTAAATAAAAAACAAGCAGAATAACAAGCAGGCAGTGCAAAAACCAGCATGGCGACCCCATCTTTGAATCCCTTTTTTTCCTTTTCAAGGGAATTACCTTAATTTCCTTTGATATTCAACTACCGGTTGCCACACTTACTTCTCCTGGCTATACAAATCAGTGGCAGATCCAGGAGAGGGTCCCCCCTTATTTTTAGACCAAACTGAAGCCTGAAGGGCCAAAAAAATTTTTTTGAGACTGTCCCCCCTATCTCACAGTTTGGATGACCGCCCCCCCCCCTTATCTGAAGGTCTGGATCGGCCGCTGCAATTGAACTTTAGTCCCTTGTTAAATTTTCAAAGAGATGTTTTGTGATTGATAAAATTAAAAGAAATAGAAAACTTAAATTATATGGAACTCATCCAGGGCTGTTCTCTAGCAGTGCCTGGACCCCCTGCAAAATTAAGTTTGCTCTTGGGTGAGTGGGAAATCTCAGTTTTTGCCCGGAAGTCACATACTGGCATCCTTGATTTCACAGGTTCAGAACACTGCGCTACCCTATAATTTTTCTTAAAGCATGGTCTTGTTATCTGAAAAGTTTCAAATAAAATTAAAACATTTTTGACCACACCATAGACATGTATGGTGTAGGTCAAAATTTAATTCGTTATAAGTTCTTAACCAAGGTTGGTACTCAATTCCTTTGTCTCTTAACCCTAATTAACAATGATTTAAGGTAAGGAGGCGAAAGGAATCGAGAATCAACCTCGTACTCGTACTCATACTTAATTTATACTTGACAACCTGGAGCTTGCTAGGTCGCTAACTTAAGTTGCTAATACATCGAGTTTTTAAAGAAACATACAAAATAAGTTGAAAGAAAATAAAAATAAATCAATTTGTTATATAAACACCAATGAAATACCAGGTGATCTTTCATGCGAAAACATAATATCTTCACACATGAAAAAAACATGTTATTTTAACATGTGAAAAGATCACCATTGCTATGGCTACGTAATAATTTGTCTTTCGCACCAAAGAAATATTTAAGTGAAATGGTTTGGCATTTCATTGGTGTTTATAATATAAACACCAATGAAATGCCAAACCATTTCACTTAAATATTTCTTTGGTGCGAAAGACAATAGTAAATAGAACATTACATGGACGCTTGGAGATACGAAGTTTCTCTTCTCGTGTTGGAAAATATTTCACTCATTCGCTGCGTTCACTTGAAGAGAAATTTCCTATCTCCGTGCGGCCATGTAATATCCTCTATATGAAACTATTTAAATGGCTAAAAGCTAAAAGATAATTGTAAAAGCTTCATATAATGATTGCAGGACTGAGAATAGGGGAAATGGAAAAATAATTATAGACTAACTGAAACTAGTTGATGCTACAGGTAACACTTTCTTGTATCAAAGTTCGTCTTTCTGATTTATGTTACGAACTTTTTAATGATAGAATAACCTCTGAATTTAATTTTGCCCTACATGTATAATTTGTATATGGATGTACACTTTTATCTTAATCATTTTTATAGGGTGGAGAGAAATATCAGGATGCATACTATATTTTTCAAGAGCTTTCTGACAAATACACACCAACTGTCATGTTGCTCAATGGTCAGGCTGTTGCATATATGCACATGGGAAAGTTTGAAGATGCAGAGAGTGTGCTTCAGGATGCTCTAGACAAAGTAAGTTTAAATTATGATAGGCTGATTTAGCAACAGAACGGGAACGTCAGTTGACGACGGCACGCGCAAATTACACAACTGGCTTGGCCAATGGCAGGGCGGCAAACTGGGAACCGGGAGTCGTGTTTAGTCCTTTCCGCGCGCTTTCCCGTCGTCAACTGACGTTCCCGTCCTATGACTAGGGGTGACTGCGATGACTACAGACTGTACAATGTAGGTGTACAAGGTGAATCATAAAGAGTATTATTAATCATGGTTGAACTCTTCTGTAGTCAGGCAAAACCTGGAGATATAATTTATCACGTTATTATTCCTTTTCTTTTTTGCTTTGTAGGATAGTAGTAATCCTGAGACTCTCATTAACATGGTGGTTTTGTCACAGCACCTAGGAAAAGCCCCTGAGGTACAAATCACATTCTCCATTTCATTTTTGTAATCTTTTGTAATATCCCTTGAAGAGCTGGTTTCCTTATGAAAAGACATTTTGTTATTGAATCTTTGCTTAGCTTGCTAACTTTCCAAATTGTTTTTTCAAGATATAGTGGAACCCCGTGAATGCAACCACCGTTGGGCCATAAAATCTTGGTCGTAATGGGTTGGTCGCAGTAACGTTGTCATCAAAATAATAAAACGACTCTGTGATTTTTTCGTTTGGATCGAACGAATATGGTCGTTTAAACGGGGTATTTATAAGGCGGGGTTTCCTTTGTACCTTCAATTTTATCATGAAATTGGATAACAAGATGTTATAGAGCAACAAAAATCTACTTGACTTAACACAAGCAACATGTAATGGTCTTGGCCAACTTTGCCTCAAGATTAAGAATGTGAAAAAATGATAGTTACTGGCCTTGGCAGAGGAAACGCTGTCAGTACATGATCCAAAACCAACAGCTCCATTAAGCCGACTTATTTGTATTGACCCCAAACCAAGATCCTGTCAATAAAATCTTGACGGGTGGCAGTAAGAGGCCTTTTAGGCGCCAGTAGACCATTGGTGACAGGCTTTTAGTGAAAACCTTGTTGCATAACACATTAAGTGATAAAAAAATACAACTACTTCTTTTACTAACTGATTCGTATCATTAAAAACGACTGAACTTAGCTTTTTTCTTTTCTGCTCTTTCTCTTTTTTTACTCTTTCAGGTCACAACACGATATATTTCACAGCTAAAGGATGGCCATCCAAATCACCCTTTCACGAAAGATTTTCAACGAAAGGTAAGGTTTTTTATTACATGTACTTAGATGTCAGTGTTTCGTAGAAACCAGCAGAAACGTTGAGTATAAAATGGGGTTGGATGGGGATAGCTCCAAAACAGTTAAGTCTCGTCCCCACAAGCAACACAAGCACAAGCATACATTGTAAGCACAAGAGTAGGTATAACGCAAGCATAACAAGGCTATGCATTAGCGAGGATAGCCTTAACATAAGCATAAGCATAAGCTAACCAGCGCTGCAGACGTAATTTAGGCCCGGTTCATACGCCGAACTTTTCGTGAGCCGAACCTAATTCGACTTAAGGCCGACCCAAATTATTTAGACCGGCTGAATTGATTCAGCCGCCGATCTTAATTCCAGCCGAACTAAATTCGAAAGGGGAAAAATGCTCATTTCGGTCAAACTACTTACAAATACGTTATAATAATTTATGTATTAGGTTCAGTACATAAAAAGTTCAGCGTCTGAATCAAAGCCGTTCCAAAGTCGCTCCAAAGGCGAAATTCCCGGCCAGGCTAGGCGAAAAGAACGGCTGAGCCGTTCCAAATTGAAACAGGCGTTCCTAATTGATTCAGACCTCGAACTTTTCATGTACTTAATTCAATGTATTAGGTTCGGCTCATGAAAATTTCTGCGTCTGAACCGGGCCTTAACTTCGTTAGTAACGTCTGCGGAGCAGTGCCGAGATCATTGTTCTCGGCCCCCAATGGACTCGACGAATTACCGGAGGTGCGTTTCGAACTTCCTTTCATCCTGATTGGCAAATCGACAATGGCTTTTTTAACAGGCCAATCATGGCGCTTACTCAAGTCCTGAACCACACAGGTGGGGGCCCAGAACAACGATTTCAGCGCTGTTTCGCAGAAGGACTTAACCAGAGTTTAGTTTTGTCTATGGCGCAGGCTAGCGTAAGCCCAAGAATAACGCAAGGTTTTGGTATTCTTGTGTTTATAATGCTGATGCATATACTAGCGCATAAGCTTCTTATGCTCATACTTATGCTTATGCTTGCGTTGTACTCACTCTTATGTTAGACTGCAAAACAGTCCGTATTTTTGCGTATTTAAGTACGCGCGAGCAGTCAACACAAGGTCTGGGACGAGGCTGAAAACAGAGAGCGAGACTGGGGAGCGACGCTAAAAGTTTTTTCCTCCGGCGTGTGAGGGTTGCGCGCTTCGCGCGCGTAAGACTTACGCCACGCTTTACAGATTTCTTTACTGATTTTGAGAAAAAAACGCCTTTTTGCAGTCTACTTTTATGTTTATGCTTGCGTTGTACTTATTACGCATGCTTGAATGCAGAGATAAATCGTAAAGTTACAATTATTAATGGTTTAGCTTTCAAGTTATCAGGTAATTAACCCAATTCATTAAACCCAAATCTGACATCAACATAGTAAATAATTACAGTAAGTTTTTTGACATTGAAAATTAAAATTTACTGTAAGCCATTTTAGGTGCTAACAATGGACAAATTACACTAACAGTTAGCCCATTTAGTCTTAAATCAGAAACCAGGAAGGATGGTTTCCAGCAGACACTGTCGATCCCTCCGAATCACAGAACTTCTAACTGCAAAATTCCAAATATTGACAATCCTCAAGATACACCTTCCTTGAACTTTTTATGCATAAAGTTAGATCGTTCTCAATGGTTTGAGCGCAAGACTCATGCACAGGGTAGGGGTTCCGAACGCAGTTAACATGAGGTTTTGCTTTGTGTTTGTCCTTGTTCAGGAAAAAGATTTCGATCAGTTTGCTGCCCAGTATGCAGTCAGTGTACAGTCGTGAAGGTTAATTCCTCATGGTGGAAAAGGGAATATTTCGAACATCAAGTAATTTGTAGGTCTACAGCTGTAAAAATTTAAATGTCCGAGTGAAAGCTGTACGTGTATACCACACATACCAGTTCGTCTGTTTTTGTTTAGCTTATATATGTGGTGTTATCCAAGTCTATATATAACTATCATTAAATTGGTTTTTGATTGAATGAGATAAAAGATGGCGTTCAACTTTGATCACCGGGTCAGTGGTCCATTTTCGAGTTGCCGTAAGCCTCTTAATAAACGCGAGGCCTGCTCCACAACTGTTTATACGAAAATGAGTTCAAGAACCCGGTCACACGGCTCCAGAGATTTTTTGAGCGGAGGAATTTTTTACCTGTGATCCCCCTTTGCCCAAGGCTTTTACCGCTCAAATTGTGCAAAACAATTTCCGGTTGAGGTGTTTACACGATTGGAACCGAAAAAAATTTTGACCATCTTTTAGTAAGGTAAAATACTTGCACAGTTTGTCGTTCAAAAAGTTGCGCGATTCAGCAGTTCCCGTGTAAACGAAAGGCTGATCTGCGCGAGTGTTTTTCCGTTTTAGCATTTGTCCGGATCCGTGTTAACGTGGTCATCTAGACCTTTTTAGCCCGTATGTTTTGTTTCCCCCCTTTTGGACCATGTAATGTTACCCCAGAGGTTTTGTTTCTTTCAAAATGTCGTCCTTTCCACGTACATATGTATGCATAATTTATGAAATTATTTTTCGGCAACTTCTCTTGACAACATCACATGGTCCGAATTAGAAAAACAAAACATGGCAACCAAAAAGGTCTATTTGCGTATTAAAGAAAAGAATTTTTCACTTTAAAAGATGAGCACCAGTACTTGAAATGGTTAGTTGGTTAATGCAATCATGTGGGTGGCTGTTAGGTCACAAAATGGCCGTGGTTTAGGGATTGTTCGAACAAAGAGTAGTTAACTGATATGCTAAGCTTCAAGGGAAAATGCTTTGAAAAGCGTGGTCTGTCGTAAACACAAACGTTTGTGCACATCAGCAAACGTAAACTGAATTTAGGCTTACTAGAATGGATATTGCTGGCAAGGTAATTCGCTGATAAATTATCGCCTTGTGACAAATAGCACATTCCCTGTTTTTATTTGCATTCTTCCTTATACAATTCAAGAGTGCAGATTAACGTTCTTTCGTGTAAATGCACTAAGGAGTAACCGCTCCATTATAGAGTTTGTCCCTCATCAAATCCTGTGGGTTACTTTTAAGCGTCTTCAAAAATAGGTCGATTCCTGTTTTAGCAGATTTGATGTTCGGCTTATCCTCGAACAAGTTCAAACCGGGCATGAAAAAACTTGGAAGAGATTCTTTTTCGATGTGCCCCAAAAGGCGATCGATTAACTCCCTAAACCGGGTGACTAGCTTCCCTTGTGCCCAGTCGCCGGTTAACTTCCAGCGATCATTCATATGGAACAAAATGGTTTTAAGGTGGTAGGTGGCTAGTGGATGCCACTTTGACAGACCTTTTCCCATGAAGTACTTAGCCAGCTGAAGGACCTTTTTTCGGCATCCGCCGTCGTTGTCGATATTTTGCATGATCTGTGATTCGACCTTGGCAGAGGAAATTAGCCAAAATACCGGGTTTGCTCCAGGTTTTACTTTGGGTACAAGCTCCGCTCTTGGATTCTTAATGCCGGGAGGTGGTGATCTAGCTTCGGGTGGCCAATGCTGAAGTTCTAAACTTATTGCCAAATCGATGCTTATAAAAGGAAACCCTGGCCATAGGATTTCAAATGTGACTACAGGTCCCCCTTCCCAGGGTCGCTTCACTATGTGTCCTTGCAGTCCTGACTCTTCTATCGCTTTCTCCACCAACTCGCGTAAATGCCCTCTGACTTTGCCAGCATCAATGCGCCTAGTTCCTGGTATTTTAAACTTATCTAGGCATGTCTTAATGGTCTGTACCGCGTAGCCAAAGCCGACGGGCGTGGTTGCATCTTCCAGAAGAGAAATTTTGCCGGCCCAATTGTCGTTTACCAATGAGAAATCGAACTCGTCTGGTTTGTCGATTTTCAGGCCCTCATAGGTGGAGCCCTTGAACTCAACTCTGAAGTTGTAACAAGGATCGTACTTTGCTACTTTAGCCATGATCTTGGCTATCTTATCATAAACGTTCTTTTTAACCTGGATCTTTGCGTCAACGTTGACTTGGATTTTCTGGTACACCTGGTTTAAGAAAACCTTGAACTCCTCTTTTTCCCTATTTACAAACAAAACAAATCAAAGGGCGAACACCTCAGTGATAAACAAAACAAAGTGAGAAGAGTTTAGCATGAATCTAGCAGGTATAGCTGTTTATCGAATTGACGACAATTTTGCATGGTCTATACTCTCTTTATATCGACAATAGTAATGACGTCAAAATGATGAAAACTCGAGTAGTGGTTTCACTGCAACGTTTCGGAAAAATGGCGCGGAAGAGAAAGAATAAATGCACATTTATTTATTTATTTATTTATTTATTTATTTATTTTATTATCATTGTGCCATTTAAATTAAAAAGATGCAGAAAGATGCCCCGATCACGTCATTCCCATGGTCTGTTTAACTAGGGGCTCCAAGATGCCGCGCGTCTGTTCAGTAATAGGCTGATTTGGCAACAGAACGGGAACGTCAGTTGACAACGGCGCGCGTAAATCAAACAACTGGCTTGACCAATGGCTGAGCGGCAAATTGGGCACCGGAAGTCTTGTTTAGTCCTTTCCGCGCGCTTTCCCGTCGCCAACTGACGTTCCCGTTCTGTTGCTAAATCAGCCTAATATGTGACAGATTACGTCAAAATGTGGTAAGAACCAAAAACGTGGCACAGGACCCGCAGGCTAGTGTGTCACTGATTTTCTTACCACATTTTAAAATCTTCTGTAATCTATAACTGAACGGACACACTTCCAAGCGTTTTTCAAGGCTTTGTCTTTCTCTAAGCACAGTAATCGCCCAAAACATTTTCTTAACTGCTAGTCTCTCATATCGTTGACACACGATGGCAACTTGTAAACAGCCCCTGCTAAACTTTTTTGAGGCATTGCTTGCATTGCTTAATTTCTAGCTCTTTAATTGCAGGTAAAAGTAATCAGAATAAAGGAAATGATCACTAAAGACAAAATTTAATTTGACCTCTAGTAAAGTTCTTGTCGTTAGTTATTTACGAAATATACGTAAAACAGTGCTCAATAGATCTATGGGTTATTT